TCCTTACCAGAACTTCTCAAAATTGTAAAGATCATCAAAAACTCAAAGAAGCCTGAGGTGACATGATGACTCAATGTACCTAAGAACTGTTAGGGTTCAGCAATCACCACACAAACCATATGAATACTGACCTCAGTTAAGAATAGTTCAATGAACCCACACCTTAATACTGGCCAGATCAGGGACATAGTTCAGAACTGGGTCTGAAACTGACAACAGACATCTTTCTCTGTCAGCTTATAAAGGAAAAACCCCACAAAACTCACAATGAGCTCATAAGCAGGTGCAGGAAGTGCTGACCAGTGATCAGCTCTTAAGTCAAGCTATTTTAGATACATCAGTCCATATATGGCCTTTGATTTGATGGGTCCTATGTAAAGCTTTGTGGAATTTCTTAAGATTAACAAACCTCAGAACATAACAGGGGCTGTGGTCAGCATGATCCTGCTACAGCTATTCTGGGGTGGGAAGTTAGACTACAACAGAAACCATGGGACAGAACAAAAGATAGTGTAAAAAACAAGATCTGAATAAACTAGGGAATTAAAAACACTATTAATATAGGTTCATTAATTGGGTGAAAAGATATACAAAATATCTGCACCATTTCATTAGTTTTCTATGAATCCAAAACTGTTCTAGGCACCAAGTCTATCTGAAACCAGCACTCAGGGGCTCCATAACTAGCAAGGCACAGCCATGCTGGTCTTCCATCCCAGTGCACTAACATTAAGCCTGGCATGCTAAGGGTGAATATTTGCTGATCGGGAACTTACCTTCCAAGGTCAGTCTGCTTATGCTAGAATTGGTCTGCTTGGGAGGTTTTCTAGATAAATTAGAAATTAGAGTTCAGAGAGATCACGTGATTTGTCTGAGGCCATGCAGCCAGTAAGTGACTTCTAGACTTGTGTTCTTTCTTCTGTATTTGAAAACTCAAAGGCTGGGTGGTGGTGGCGCATGCCTTTAATCCCAGCACTTGGGAGGCAGAGGCAGGCAGATTTCTGAGTTTGAGGCCAGTCTGGTCTACAGAGTGAGTTTCAGGACAGCCAGGACTACACAGAGAAACCCTGTCTCGAAAAAACAAAACAAAACAAAACAAAAAAACCCCAAAACCTCAAGTCATTGGGTTTGTTTCCTCTGCTGTACAGAATACCACATACTCTAAGGTCTTGGGAGGATAAAGTAAGCTTGAGTGTCCAGTAGGTATAGTCTGCCCATGGTGGTGGTTATCTGGTGGAGATGCTTTCAGTGCCTTTCAGTCCTGTCTTCTCTCTGCCATGCCCCAGGGACTACAACAGATCTGCTTTCTGTTCTCTTGAAGTTCTCCTTAATTTCTTTAGCCTGGGCACAATAAGACAACCACACAGTGACTGCCACCTGACACCTTTACAGGAGCAGGCATAACATATCTCTATTCTATGCCAGGCTTAGCCTCCCTTTCCCCACTTAGGGTAGAAGAATGGCAGAAACAATGAGAACAGCCATTTTTTTTCCCAGAAGGGAACAAGGGTAACAATGGAAAACTCTCCATGTAAACTGTGCCTGCTTACAGAAACTGCACAGCAAAAACCCATTTGTGTTCAGACAAATGGGATTGAAGTTTGTGGTTGCAGTGTGGAGAAAGTATTTGTCATGGCCTTCCTGTCAATCTGGGCCCCTATCAGTGGCTGTGTGGGTAGGTACTGTGGTATAGAAGTTTGACTTTCTGTGCCTGCCCTTGCTCTGAATAATGACATGGAGATTTATGTTTATTTATTATAAGCTTTAGGCACTATAGCTGGGCAGACTCTGGCTATTCTAACCTAGCAATACTGACCTGGCCTACATTCCACCATGTGACCTGTCACCTGACATCTTAATCTCAGCCTGGCAACTCCTTCATGTCCAGATGGGACTCTCTGGTCCCCACCTCACACATACCCCACCCCTTGGTTTTTCTGTTTTCTATACCAGATATTCTCAAGCAGGCCAGGTACAAGCAAGAAACAGTAGTGGCCTTACTCCAATCACATATGAATACATGTGCACAAAAGCATCCTCCAACACTGGGTTTGTGTTAAAGCAGATTAGGCCATGCCAAGTGAACTCTACCCTGGTTCTATAGGGTCACCATTTAGCAAATGAACCATCTCACCTGGCATGGCCTCTGGCCTCCCGGGGTCAGGGATGAGGAGAGACTGCATGGGTGAGATGTGGCAGAGCAGCTGGAAATAAGATACTTCATGATAGAAGGAAATTGTTCATGCTCACAGCAATTTCGTCAAACTGAACAATTCTCTCTAAATAGCAAGCTCAAGGAGATACAAATAGCTCTCATGAAATCAGCTCTAAGTGACTGCAGAAAATTGTGCCTCTCATAAATTCTCAATTCATCTGATTTATGGGCAGATTTTTATGCCATTAGAGGACCATACATTATAGATGCTCACCACATCATGCTCCCACGTCTCAGTAAAACTTTTTTCTGAATAATCACCTTGTTCTTCAGAAGCACTCAAAGTTCACCTTTCATCTCTAAGATCATCAACTAAAAGTCACTTCCAGAGAGAGATCCTTTCAGCCGCTGAGCCAACCAGTTCTCTTGGGGCATATGCAACATTTTATTCTTAAAAGCCATCTGGGGCACAGGTTTGTATCATGACACAGACATAAAGCTTTATCCCAGAGTCACAGCAATGCCCAGCATCCTGTTGATGCCTCTGTAGCTAGTTCTGGACACAGAGATCAACATGTCCAAAATAGATCCACACACATACGTCCTTTTCTTTCTTCTGTAGCTCCTCAAATTTAAGAAAATCACACAGTTTTTGTTAAAGGGCCAATACCAAGGAGGCATCTGGCAGGATCACAGGTCAATTACAGGGAGACAGAGTAGACCAATCTGAAACAGTAGGCAAGTGTATCATGGGAAATGGACCACAGCAGTCCAATAAGGTCAGTACAATTTTTGTAAAACAACTTTTAGGTATATATAGAATTACAAATGGCCCCATCTCAAATTATATTTGTTATCACCTCTAGGAAATAGTAGGCTGGGGTGAGAGGGAGAATGTAGGACCTTCATTTTTTTTTCTTATAATATACATTTCTAGAATAATTTTACATCAAATATATAGTAGGGGATAAATGTCCCCACAGACTGACAGCTGAAAGGACAGCCTTTTAATATGTGGTGCAGAGATTAACTGCTTTGTCATCGGGAAAAATTAACCCTGACCTATCTTATCTCAGACGACTAAACGTTAAGGCAAAGTAGCACTGGTTCTAGATAGTATCTTTAGAAGACTGGACTTGTGCCTACTCAACTGCCTATTTCAGTTAAGCTGCAAACTTATGAATGTTTTGCATATTTCACCCTCAGAACAAAAGGGTTGGAAGAGTGACTGATAATAAAATCCATTGAATGTGAGAAGGGAATCGTGGGCAGAGACTGAGTGACTGGCAGCTGCCATGGTACCCCAAAGACTAACAGGCTTAGTGCCATTTGTTGAGGTTAGGAATGTTTCCCTCACTGAGACCCTATAGGAAAACAAAATCAAACAGGTATTTGAGACTGCTCTAATTAACCCCTTCTAATGATATTCCTGGACTGACTTAGTGGGAAGTGGAAGGAAGGGGTTAAATAATCAGGCTTGATGTATCCATTTTTGCAAAATAAGGAGCAGTCTTGAATGCAACATCTGTCAATAAAATGTTGATTAGCTTGTAAGTTTAGGTAGCAAATAGAAGGTGGGACATCCAGTTGGGAGATTGAATTCTGGGATACAGCCAAGCTCGAGAGGACTTGCCTGGGAACATGGAGGTCAGAAGCATGGGAGTTGGGCAGAGCTAACCAGCTATGTGGCAGAACTTCAAATAAATGGGATATTAAGTCATGATCTAAACAGGGAAACAGCCAAAGGTATTTGTAAATATATTTGAGTCTCAGTCATTATTCTAGAAGCTTGGGGGCAGGAGGAAAAACACCAACTTTTACAGTGTTTGGTTTGCTTTGGGGTCTTAGGTCCCTGAAGACAGCCTCAGGTCATGGGGGAGAACTTCCTGATGTTTCTCAAGGCATGTAACATCAAACAGACAGCATAGATGCAGATAGGTGTAGAAGTGGGTGTCAAGTGTTCCTTTCTGATTTTCTCAAAACAAACAAAACCCTTTCACGTTCTGGTTCTTAACTCATTCCAAAGAATCTGTTCCCTAATGGTGTGATTGCTGTCTCCATTAATGAGCTAGGTGGGTAGGGAGGGGGTGTATACCTCCAGCACCAGGGAGGTAGAAACAAGAGGATCAGCAGTTCAAGATTATCCTTTGATACATAAGCAAGATTGAGACCAACTTGGGATATGTGAAAGGAAGCCTGTCTCAAAAACTTCAAGTTTTTATGTCAGTATGTTGACTATAGTAAGAGAAACACATTGCTTTTGCCTCTAAATGTAAATGTTAGAAAAGTTAAAATCACACTGTGTGGTCTGTATTATATCACTATGGACTATATTGCTTCAGTCAGAGGCTGGCAAACTATGGACCATGCACACTATCTGCCCACTGCTTGCATCTAAGTTTGTGACCTCAGAATGTTTTTTCACACTTGTGATGGTTTTAAAAGTCAAAAATCAAATTCATGATGGGAAAATCAAATTTTACATTTTGTGTCCATAAATAGAACTGTTGTGTATTAGGAAAGAGGACTGGCCATCACTGCTGCTTTTCCGGTTGCATAAATTCCACAAAGGCTTTGTCTTTAGAAGGTTACTACCTTGGGCAGTGCCTGTACTGTGAGGTACTTAATAAATGTACTAGTTGAAATTTTTAGGCATTGGGGGGTTGCATAGGAAGCACTTTATTAAGAATGTAAATTATGACTACTCTAAGCCATGGTATATTTTAATCTAAAAAAGCTAAAAATAATTAAGCCTTCAAGCAGGCCCGTCTAGGAACACAGGAAAGGAAATGCTGGTACCCACCGGCCTTGTACTCGTCTGCTGCATGACAAAAGGAATACAGGCTTTTGAACAAAATACTTTTATTTCAATGAGTTCCATGATTTTTGAATGGTCTTTCATTTCTTTTCTTTCTTTGACCCTTTCAAAAGGGAGAGCTAAAGCTGTCCCAATTATCAAATAATTCAGATCTCCTTTTATTTGGTGGACTGTCTGTGGTTTCATCATCTAAGATATCTCCCAGATCCTGGGAACTATTTCCAGAGATTCCTGAAGTACTTGCTAGTTCAAAGGACTCTGCTGCTTCTAAGAATTCCATGTCATTTCCATCGTCTTCAAAGGACTGCTGGAACAGGTCATAGATAGTCTTCTGCTTTGGGTCCTTTATTAGAGAAAGAGAAAGTGTAAATGGAAGAAGCTAGTCCTGATACTGACCCCAGGACTGCTCTAAGTGAGAGAGATGGTGCATAGTATTCAGCCAGGGGACCTACAGTGACGTGAGACTGGCAGTAACCAATGACCTGCAGAGATGGTCACCTTCCTTGCGTCTTCTCTGCTCTTCACTGGCTAGAGATAAACAGGAAAGACAGGTGCTGCTCTCACAGTAAGCTTTATGATGGGAATGTTCTTTTTCCTTCCTTTTTAATTTTCTATATCTGCACTTCCATATTACAATATCTGCAGTAATCCACTTCTTCCTAAACCCGGGTCTTTCTAAATGGAAGTTAGTTAAGCTGGAATTTGTCTTCACAAGACATCCTGCCTCACTTTCTGAGTGGATCCATCCTTGTGTCTGATGTTAAAGATACAGATGATCAGAATGCACACCACATACATCTGACCACTATTGGCAGTGTTAATGCCACGCCTAGCAGTGACAACCATGACACATGGCAGGCTGAATCAAAACTCTTAATGCTGACTATCTCATGGTCCATGGATACATTTTTAGCATCATTGTGGCAATCCACAGATCCATAAAGCTGTTTAAAATCAAATGCTGAGAAGGCTCAGTGAGTAAAAACACTTGGTGCTATATGCCCAACACAGCTTCTCTCCTCACTTTACAAATCCACCAGTGTTTTCGTAATCCTTCTGCTTGAAATTGCCAGTATGTTCTTTGACTCAAAAGGCTTATTCCTGTCAACACTTTTTCTTAGCAAGTTGCTTTTAAAAAAAGAAGTTTTTTTTTTAATGTCTTGTGTATATGTGCCATGTATGTGGGTACCTAAGGAGGCCAAAGGAAGGCATCAGATTCCTGAAGTTATAGGAAGTTACAGAATAATAGGCAGCTGTGAGCTATCCAGTGTGGATGACTGGATCTGAACCCTGGTCTCCTGGAGGAGCAGTGAGCACTCTTAATCACTGAGCCACCTCTTCAGCCCAAGTTACCGGTAACTCTAGCCACATCCCTTAATATATGCTAAGAAGACCACAGCTCATTTGCATCTCTGCCTTAGGGCTCCTTACCAGCAGCCGCCTGATTTTACTCCTAGGCAGTCCTTTAGCACGATTCCTGTTGTTGAGTCATGGGCTCTCTTATGTCCACCTCAAGTCTGAGGTAGCTTCCCCGGCTTTCTGGTTCTGCAACTAGGTCTCAACCTAACTAGTCCCTGTTTCTTAACAGAATTCCTCAACACTGAAGGACACCCTTGAAAACCATCAGGAGAGCATGTCACATAAGAATTCCAGATTATTTCATTAGCCCATGCCCCAGGATCCCAGCCTTTCAAAATAGGAAGTGATTTTAAAGACTATTAAGAGTATGTGCTTCATGTGCTCCCAAAGAATGCACTCAGTGGCCCCTTTGTGAGCAAAGTGCAAAGTCAAGGAAATGTTTCGATGTGAGGCAGCCTGGTCCAGCAGGTGCCTGCCCGTGCCTTTTTGATGAAGAGAGAGACAACACTATTCACAGACCTGGAGTATGCATAGTTGACTGGGAATGAGTTCCAAGATCAGATAATTCTTTATTTCCCCTCTTGGAAGGAAGGCTGTTTGAACATGACTCTGTTTGCTTTTTCTCCATGAAAGAGGAAGCATTTTCTTTTTCTAGTTACTAATGAAGTTCTCAGCCCTATCTTAGTAGAAGCAGGTAAGCTTTAATCAAAATAAACACCAATAAGTCTCACACAGGTTCAAAGTTTCTGAGGGTAAGGCCAGGATGAGAAAGGTTGAAGACAATCCTTCAGAATAAACCTTTCTTTTCAAAGGGCATTAGTAACTTAGATGTCCTTAGCATAGTCACCAACCACATGTCAGAGTGCCAGCAAAACTTCCATGTAAGGTCATTTTACTGGTGTCTTAGTTCCTGTTTTTGTCTAAAAGGGTAAGTTATGATGTGGTGACTTGAATAGGAATGCCCCCATAGGCTCATGTGTTTGAATACTTGGTCCATAGGGAGTGGCACTATTAGGAGGTGTGGCCTTGATGAAGGAAGTGTGTCACTAGGGGGTGGGCTTTGAGGTCTCAGAAGCTCAAGCCAGTTCTCTTCCTGCTACCTGTGGATCCAGATGCAGAATTTTCATCTCCTTCTTCAGCACCATGTCTGCCTGCATTCCACCATGCTTCTTGCCATGATAATGGACTAAACCTCTGGTTTAGTCTATTAATTAATTAGCCTTCATTAAATGTTTTCCTTTATAAGAATTGCCTTGGGCATAGTGTTTCTTGACAGCAATAAAACTCTAAGACATATAGTCAACATTCAAAAATATGGTGTCTGTTGAATGTGGTATCTCAGGCCTATAATCCATAAGCATTCAGAATGCTGAACAGGAGGACCTTGAGTTCAAGACCTGCCTGGGTGATAGGACAGCCTAACTCAAAAAGGCAATTATTCCAATAATTACACACACACACACACACACACACACACACACACACACACACACACACACACTTTTTAAGTTGTAGGCACCTGCTCTTCATACAAACAGTGCTGCAGAAGCACGGAGTGAATGTGAAAAGAGTGGAGGAAGCCCTGAGTATTCGATCGTGCAGGGTAGACTGCCATGTCAAGGACCCACAGCCTCAGACCCATGCAAGTTGCAAAGCTGCCTCTGGTCCACGTGTGAATGCTGACAGTGTGTGCAAGTACAAGTATTTACAAACAAATGACCAGCTTCCTCCTCCCAGATGACTGAAATCTGGGACTGGTTCTCACATAAGCCCCTACCGGTGCTGGCTAACTTCTTCTCAATGCTACGCACAGTAAACATGATGAGCTTTTAGCTTGATTTGTAGTATCTGCTGCTCTTAGCAGAGTGAGCCTAGTCCACCTGATCCCAGCTTTTCTGTACGTGTGTCTATCCTTTCTCTATTTCCTAGTCACCCCAGTTAAGTTTCCAGGCCCAAGCTATGTATGATGTGCCACGGCTCCATCCCTTCTGGGGCCAAGAAACCTCTCTTTGGCACCTGTTAGCATATATCCGTCATGGGAGGATGTTCTCTGGCCTCTTACACTGTACAGCAAGAGCTGTTGTTACAGAAGGAAGAGCTGAGGTGGAAAGACTTCTATCTCAGGCTGGTTTCAGATGTCATATGGCTATGCTGGACAGTTTGGTGGTGGCCCTGCTGTATGGCTGGTATTGCTGTCTTACTTATGGGGACAACTAACAGTTGCCATGGGGATCTTTTTCTCATGTCCTCATGAAAGAGACAGCAGGTCAGCTTTGGTTTGGAGAGTCTTTAGGGCACATGAGAAACAGCAGCAATCACTAGCAACCCCCTCCTCATAAGGGATCACACAAACAGAATGACTGTAGGCCCACCTGTCCACCCTGGGAAGTGACTGACACCTCCCCCCTCAGTACCCATGAGCTTGGCAGACAGCTCACTCACTGCCTTGCTTTATATAGGATGAGGAGTCATGTGCTGGCGTTACCTTGTAGAGGTAGTCCGTAGCTTCCGTCATTTCCGAGAAATTGGACTCAGAAAGGCCAGCTTCCCCCAGAACTTTAATCTTTTCTTGAATCAGAGGCCTGTGGGGAGAAATGAGCTGTAGTGAACACACCTGCCCAGGACTGGAAGGCTGACTGAATGAGGCCCCTTTGTTCCTTCAGGCCTGTGAGGAGGTAACTGGAGCTCATCTCTGTATCTCTCAGGCCTTTCTGAAATACTTGCCCTGCCTCAACTGGAAACAGTCCACTCTCTGTTCACAATACCAGGTACAAAATACCCTCTAGCACAAGATGTCTAGGAAATAAATTCTACCTCATTACAATAAAAATCTGAGTTTGCTGTAAGAAGCTGCCCCATGAGCAAATCCATTTACAAAGGGACGAAGTAGGGTGATCTGGCTGCGCTGCAGAGGTCAGGTACCCTAGCCACCAGCTGAACAATGGTTCAGAGAGCGAGTACTAATGGGATAACTAAGGAACTTCACATCAGGAAGAGGGAAAGGGATTGAGAAAGACCCTGAAGGACTATAACTTAGATGACAGACACAAGCTTCAAGGGTTGAAATGTGACCCTCAGCACCAAAAGAGACTGAGGCGGAAGGATCAAAAGTTCAAGGCCCCCTGGACTACAGAGACTTAAGGCCAGCACAGGGCAAACTTAATGAGACTCTATCTCAAAATGAAAAATGAGGATTGTATAGTAAAGCTTAGAGGTGGGGAACTTGCTTAGCATATGCAGGCCCTATGCTCAATCTTCTGTAACACATAGAATAGACATACACACACACACACACACACACACACACACACACACACACACACACACACACTGACTGCAGCCCTGCCATGAAGCACTGCATGGTTAAGAATAAGCACTTTCTCCATGCCTAGCCCTGACAGAGGTGACCATATCACATATCACAAAAGAGAAAAGAACACTGACCCCATCCTAAAACATGCTGCAGCTGAGAACTGAGTGGTCTTAAGTGAACTCTATCTAATATCTAAGTTCTTCTCCCTCTTGGACCAGTGGGAAGAGTCATTTGCCTTTATTATAACTGATTTAACCCTGCACCCCGCAAGTCTCCAAGGAACACTAGTGATGAGGGCCAAGAATCGGAAGCAGGAAGCCATCACTAACAGGTCTCAACAAAAGCTTAAGTACTGAAGGAACAAAGAAACCACGCCCTGTGATCCTCAACCGCTCAGCACATTCAAGGCACCCGCCTATGCATACCAAAGGTAGTCATCTGCTGTGCCTTTTGCCACCAAGTAGTGGATGCCTACAGACTTTGTCTGTCCAATGCGGTGCACACGGTCCTCAGCCTGGATCAGCACCTGTGTGGTCAGGGAACAAGACAGTTAAAGGCCTAAGTAAGTCCATCCCATCACAGTGAGGGGTATCTATCCATTAAGCCCCACTAAGCATGCTGTGAAAGGACAGCATGGTTTCTGACTGAGGACTGGCTAGAAATTGAGATCCCAAGTGATCTTAAGGGACAGCATGCATTTCACCACACTACCAGACTCCAGGCTCCTGACAGGAGGCCACAGACCTCCATTGATTCCAGCCTTCCAATAACATAGGACAACAACCACTAGCCCCTTCACAGGTAGGGGGCATGACTACAGGCTGTGGCGCCTCAAGATAGTTTTCCATATTAATGAGATACCTAAAGGCCAGAGGGGTGTAGCCAATTAAACATTCCTTCCCAGGCCCTCCTCCTTACAAAGATATTTAACCTCAGGCCTGCCCTGAAAATACCGGGGTTTAGTTTTCATCTATTTTTTTCCATGACAATAAATATCAAGACCATAGACTATTTCTCTTCCTTGGGACAGTAGGGAAGAGTAGAGCAGGTCTTCATCCACAGAGCTGCTGTCTAATCTCCCCTAAAAGAATTCTCTGCGATCTCAGCCACAGAGATCTAGCCACCCAAGCAAGTAAGCCGAGCCAGCCATGATCCAGCCAAGCAAGTCCTCCTGACAGAACTCCCCTCCCCACTGGACCTCAGACTGCTCCCCCACCCCGAGTGGAGTCCTGCAGCTTCACAATAGCCTGATGTCCACCTGGTGCTGTGTGGAGTGAGCAAAGGCAAGAGTCCTGCCTCTGTCCTCCATGTGCAGCCCTAGTCCTGTTGGGGGGGGAGGCAGATGCAGGACCCCCACAACAACCCATGCACACTATAACCCAACAAGATGCCTCTATCAAACATTTCCCCTATCTCTTATAGAACTGAGAGACACTAACAAACCTCAGGACCTGGTATCTAGCAGAAACCACACTTGGGCACTGTGCTAGGGCTTGTGGGTAAAGCATGGGTATAGGCTCTGCCTCCAGTCTGTGTGCTGGGGAGAAATGATACAAATAGGCACACTTTCCTTTCTAATCTCTCGAAAATTGGAAGTTATCTTCCAGGGACTGCAGAGGGGGCTCAGCGGTTGAGAGGACTTGTTCCTGCAGAGGACCTGGTGGCTCACAACCATATACAATTCACTTCCAGGGGATGTGGACTTCTGACTTTCAAGAGGCACTAGACATGCAAGTAGTACATTGACATATATGTAAGCAAAATAATGATACACATAAAACAAAAAATATATCTAAATTTTTAAAGTTTATCTTCCAAATATCTAGATATATCACAAAAGGGATCCTGCATGATGATTAGGGGTGGATGTTGTTTTCATGTGCTGGTAAGCCCCTTAGTAACCGGAACCAGGACACCGGTTTATGAATAGCCTCAACCTTAGAGCCTACCCATCATTAAAGCAATAGCTGATATGTACCCTGTAAAAGTGACATGTCGGAAAATGAGAGGGAAAATAACTTTTTTTCTGAGACTCCAAGAAATGTTTATGAATTCAAATAAATGTCTTAGACCTGCCATCACAGCCCCTGGCTATCAGTCACGGCACCAAGCAACACGTGGTGCTGTCACTTGTTCTGAGGCCCCCACTGGCAAATAGCTCAAAGGGACAATTAACAAAGGGCCTCTAAAGACTTAGCTATACAGTCCTGGATCTCCACTTGGGCTTTCTGTGCCCACTTTCCTCTCAGGGGAGATGAAGGCTAGGACTTTCCTAACTCTACAGCAGGATTTCTCCACCAGTAAGACAGAGCCAACAATCCTGCAGGCTGCTGTGAAGACTCGCAGTGCTGGAAACAAGTGAACAGCAACAAAAACAAACACAAGAGTGAACAGCAACAGGCAGGGCTGAGCTTGAGGGAACGCTTGCAGAACATGCAATCTTTTTTTAAAAAAAATTATTTATTTTCATGTGGATGAACGTTATGCCTGCACGCATGTGCACTACATGTGTACCTGGTACTCACAGAAGTCTGAACAGACAGGGACTGAAGTTAGAGATGGTTGTGAGCCACCATATGGGTGCTGGGAATTGAACCCAGGTCCTCTGTAAGAGGAGCCAGTGTTCTTAACTGCTGAGCCATCTCCCCAGCCCAAGAACATGTCTTCCGACATTCGTTTACAGATCTTGTATTTCTCAGCCCTGAGCATGCCCAAGGGGATTCTAGTCAACTACATTCCTTACCCCTGGGTTCCAAAACAGCTCAGCAAACACCACCAGATCAGCTGAGGAGAAGGTAAGGCCCATGTTGGCAGCTGTGATGGACAACACCGCCACTGTATGCCCTTTGGACTGTTGGAACTGCTGGCACATAGCCTCCCGGTCTGCTGAGGGGGTGGAGCCATCAATCCTCATGTGCTGAACATTCTGTGTGACAAAGGTGGAACGGAGGTAAACTTTGACAGTATCCAGGGGCTGCCCAGCCAGCTCATCTAGGTAGGGCCCACACTGCTCTGCTACTCCACCCTCTAACTTCAGGGCTGTCTCTTTTACAAAACTGAAGGTTGGACTGACACAATCATACAAGCACATATGGTCAAAGGAAACAAAACAAACAGGCCTCTGTGCATGGGGCTATTGCCCATGCAGCAGCCTTTTGTAGAAGTATAAAATAGTATTACCACCAGGATGCCAACTTTGATACAACTCAGAGATCCTCAGATTTCCCATGCTACCTGTGTACATGTGTGTGCATGCACATGAATGTGGGGAGGGGGTGGGAGGCTGTATGCATGTGCTCATGTCTTTACATGTATACTCATTCCTCATTTTTATCAGCAGGGTTTTTATGTATTCATCTCTATAATGGTGGTGATTGGTTCCTTGATCACAGGGTCCTTCTGAAGGCATCTGAGAATGGACTTCCCCACCTCTTTCTTCCCCAGTGGGCCTTCCTAACGGCCCCCACCATGTAGTACCTGCATACCCTGAATTCTGAGGTGTTTAATCTGTAATCGTTACACAAATGTGATCAACATGATGCCTTGGAGCTGAGCTTTTCCCTCAGTGACATTCACCGTAGAGTTGTCAAGTGTTGTTTACCTCAGTAATCTGCTCATGGTTCTGTGGAGCGGTATCCACATCATGGCACATGCCCACGATCCCATGTACACACAGAAGGGCATCTGGGCAGAACTGGGGGTTACTGCCAGTAAGGCTGGTAGGAAGGTTTGTGAACAGGCTATTCAGTGTGAACTTAAGTTTTTGTTTCTTTGAGGTTGTCCTGGAGCCAACTTCTGGATTGTACAGTAATTGCATGTTTAATCTGGCTGTTTTAAGAGGCATTTAAAATATTACTCTTTTTTCATTGAATATTACATATCTTTCAAAGAAAAACTGTATTTTATTCTTCACCCAAATCATACTGTAAACTGCTAAAATATTTTTAAATTTATGTGACAATAAATAATTTAACCATTTTCTTCTTTCTTTCTTTCCCTTCCTTTCTTCCTTCCTTTTCTTTCAATCTTTCTTTCTCCTCCCACCCCAAGACAGGCTTTCTCTGTGTAATACGGGTTGTCCTTTGTAGAGCAGGCTGGCCTTGAACTCAGAGATCCTTCAGCCTCTGTCTTCCCAGTGCTGGGATTAAAGGTGTACACCACCACCACTATCCAGCCTATCTTTTTATCTCTACAGATTTAGGAGTTATCTGATTTTTTCTTTTCTAAAACAGAAGAGTTGGTAGGTATTTATTCATCAATAAAGTTAAAAATAAAATAAGTTAAAAAAAATCCCTGTAGTGTATCTATACAGTGAGGTTTTACTTAGCACTAAAAAAAAAAAAAACTGTTGATAAAACATTGATGAATCCAAGTATATGAACAAAAGACAAAAAACAATCACACAAACAAAAACTAAAAATAGAGTGCATATTGAATGATTCCACACTTGTGACAAACTCCAAAAAATGCAAACCAGTCAAGTGAGAGCAGCTCAACTCAGCCCAGAGAGAGGGGCAGGAAGGGGCAAGACGGGATGAGGACAGAGAGCCGGGGCAGACGGGGGCGGAGGGTAATGGCCATGTTCATCGTCATGCTCACTCTCATCAAACGGCACACTTTATGTGTAGTATATCACACAGCAATGATTTCCTTAGGTTACAAAATTCAAATACTATAGTAAAAGGAAAAAAAAAAAAAGGAAAATTCATCATTGCCAGGCTGCTTCGTGACAGATGAGACAAAGCCACGTCAGGTGGCAGCACACACGCAAAACTCTGAGGGTCCGAAGGAAAACAAACCTTTGCTGAGTGTGGTGGTGCACACCTGTAATTCCAGCATTCAGAGGATGTAGGCGGGAGGATTGCAGATGTGAGGCTAGCCTGGGCTACACTGGGCAAGATTCTGTCTCAAAAAAATAAAAGAAAGGGTTCGTGCTCTGTTTCACTCACTCAGTCACGGACCAGATTTTGTGTCGTATGCTGCCATTGTGTCTACCTCATACTGCTCGCTGCCAGTCTCCCTGGACAGTCAGTGTTCTTCCAAATCCTCTTTTACTTTGTATTTAGAAATATCTTAGCTCTCCAGATTAGATGATTCAGTGGGTACAGCTGCGTCCTGCCAAGTCTGACAACCTGAATTTGAGCCCAGGAGAAAGGGAGCCCCAGCGCCCACAAGTTTAATACAGTAAACAGTAAGGTAAAGATTTATTGAACTCCTCTCCCTGTCTCAGTTACCCAGAAAGCTTCCCGACAGTTATTTGCTGAATAAACTAAACAACTCCTTGGTTCACGTTTCCTAGCTGTTGGATGCCATGACTCGGTGCTTGTGACATGCACAGTCCGTTCAGGATTATGTCTCCAACACTGCTGTCCTTTCTCAGACCTCTCCTGCTTATTTTCTGAGATGTCCCTTAGGATAACAGCTAAGGTTCCTTTTAAAAACCAGATTTAACTGAGCTCTGCTGAGCTGTGCAGGTCTCTAATCCAGCCATTTGGGAGGTTGACATGGGAGGACACAAGTTCAAAGTCCTGTCTGGCCAACTCACTCAGATACAGTATCAAATTTTTAAAAATTAAAAAAGGGTTTAGGAATATAGCTCAGCGGTAGGACACTCTTAACTGCAGAACTAGCCATTCAGCCATGGCTGGTAGATGTTTTAAAATAACTCATTTTAGTATACTTATTTGAAATCTAAGTATCGTACTAAACTGTTATACGTTCTAATCGTTTTGTAATTAATTGTCTTGGGTTTCTTGAAAACCCAGAAGGTCTTCTAGAGGTTACAGATTTAACTATTTCAGCCTGCTCCTAAACCATTTTGTATGCAAGAATCAAACCCAAAAAGGTTGAAGATCCACTATACAATCCCAGATAAAAACTCCAAGAGAAAACTTCATAGCCTTGCTTAGTCATAAAAACATAAGCTACAAAACAAAACATGGATTAACTTGACATGTAACTAAAATGATAAATCTTTTACTTAAAATAAAGTTAATGAGGCCTGCAAGGGTTAAACATGTAGTAACATGAACTGAGCACAAGAACTCAGGGCTGCAAGGGTTAAACATGTAGCAACATGAAGTGTGCAGGAAAATTCAGGGCTACAAGGCTTTGGCAGGATAATAAATCTGAGCAGCTACCTTTAACTGCAATCCAATAAAACTGAAAATAAGTCTATCCTATGAGGACACACAGAGGCACTCTTGACACTCTCTACAGCAGTATATGCACTACACACCCAACTACATGTTACACCTTGTAAAGAAATCTCAGAAGCAATGGTGGGCAAAACAGCAATGGCAGTTACACTACCCTCCTACTGATGCAAATTCGTTACTAAAGAGACCAGATTTAGGAGAGGGAGCACATCCTGATGGCTGTTATTGGTTGTCAACTTCTGGAGTTAACTAAAACCCAAGTGATTGGGCACACCTGTGAGGGATTTTTGCTTAATTGAATCATTTGAAGTGGCAAGACCCACTTCTAGTCTGGATCTTCGAGGTGGGAAGATCCAGCTTTAATCTAGACTATACCCTTTGCTATATAAAGGATATGGAAGAAGAAAAGTCTCCCTTTGCTGGCTTGCTTTCACTAGCAAGTCCATTCCCTCATTGGCATTAATCTACTTCTGTGGGAGTCTGTCATGTACTGAAGACCAGCTAAGACAACCAGCCTTGTGGACTGAATAACTACTGGGTTCTTGGACCTTCTGTGTATAGGTAAACATTGTTTGATTAGCTGAACCACAGCCTGTAAGTCATTCTAATAAATCCTCTTTCTATATATGAAAGAATCATTTTATAGGTTCTGTTACTCTAAAGAACCCTGACTAATACAGACATGCACTAAATTCAAGACAGGACCTCTGGGGACTGAAGGAAGGGAATGAAATTAGATTACTAACTGGGGCCCAAGTGTTTTATTACTTAAAAACCAGGTGCTGGTAGGATGACACAGTGGTTAAGAGCATGTTACTGCTCCTGCAGTGTGAGCTCCCACACTTGGTGGCTCACAATTGCTCAAAATTCTAGGCTCCACATAAATGTAATTAAAAATTAAATAAACTGGGGCTGGAGAGATGGCTCAGTGGTTAAGAGCACTGACTGCTCTGCCAGAGGTCCTGAGTTCAATTCCCAGCAACCACATGGTGGCTCACAACCATCTATAATGGGATCCAATGCACTCTTCTAGTGTGTCTGAAGACAGTTGCAGTGTACTCATATACATAAAAAATAAATTAATTTAAAAAAATTGAATAAACCACCCAGGACTGGTGACATAGCCTGTCATCACAAGTAACAAGGAGTCCAAGGTCATTAGTTCAAGGCCTGTCTGAGCTATATATAGCATGAGTTCAAATTAATCTCAATAACTTAGCAAGACCTTGTCTTAAAAAAAAAAATTTATAGAGGCTTGGAAATGTAGTTTAGTGGTATATCAGATGCACAGTATCCAAGAGATCCTGGATTCAATCTTTAAGTACCACAAAGATTAAACAAATCTTAAAAAGAAGGAGGAGCAGGAAGAGGAGGAAGAATGGATGAACGAATGAGAAAAAAAAAACCCTGTCTTGACATAAGTACTGTGATTTTTTTCCTTATTCAGCCTGTGAGAGATTCACAGGTGTTGGATTTTACTCTGTATTCCTTAAACACTGTAGAAGTACAAGTAACGAGGAAGGGAATTTATGATCCTAAACTAAAGCAAAGGTCAAGAGGGAGTGAAAATGCAGTGTGTCGCATTTTAGTGAATGTCCTCGGAGCTTCCTCTACCTCGGAGTTCCTTCCGGATTGCTTTTGCTCACTTTATCAAGATCCATCAAATGGCACTGAAAAGCCAGACACTACCATGTGCAACTTACAAAGGCTTCTGGGTAATAGTGAGGTTCATTCTGTTATGAATGCAGAGAATGGAAGAGTCCCTGGAGACTTAAAGCAAGACTCCTGTTTACAGTAGGAGGATGACGGAGTGCCCAGTGTGAGGACACTTGACCTCCCTGTGTACCGACTGCTCAGAAGGCCTTCAGCAAGGTTTCTAGAAACCATGGCCTCACTTCTTTGCATAGTCCTGACCCAATGCTGTGCAGAACAGCCTGACACACAGATGGTAGAAGTCAAGACCTCCCAGACTTCAGAGGGGGCTTACCTTCCTCTCAAGTTCCTTACCAACTGCATCCAGAACCACCTTATGGTGTGCAAACACTAGAAACTTCTCTCGTCCGCTGTCGAGCAGGTCCAGGATATATTCACTATATTTGCAATGGTGCAGTTAGTTCCCACAGAGTGACATTAAGAACCTACAAGGTACCTGCCCATCCCCTCCCTCTTCTGAGACTTATCTTCCCGCCTTTACTCACACCAGGTCATGACAGAGGAAAAGGAGGTAAACCATCTTCTGACATGTTTAGAAGGAGTTTTCTACTCTAGTCATCTTACACACACAAAGTGGATTCCCCGTAGGCAAGAGTTCTATATGTCACTGGTGTGTTACTATGTGGGAGTCATGTTATGTAGATTACTGAAACCATAATCAGCTTTCATGTTAGTTGATATTACCAATTTAATTTGGTTTTAGCTCAAACCTGAAAGATTAGATAAAAAATTCTCTACACAAATTCAAGCTCAATGTTGAGAAATAAGTAATAACTGAGAAAAGACATTTAGGGGTGACTCTCCTCTCCCCTTCTACTGAGACCACAGCTGACAGAGCCCACGGTTACATCAGTGCTAATGGAGGTTTTTTCCCAGACAAGGGAACATGGTGGGAGGATCCACTTGCTTAGTCACCCATTAATTTAATTCTCTTTCTACTATGTATGTTTGTTTGTTTTTAATGGTTTATTAATTTAATTTGTATGAGGTTTGCTTACATGTGTGTATGTGTACACATGTGTGCACTGCCCACAAAGGCCAGAAGAGGGTGTCAGATCCCCTGGAAATGGGGTTACAGACAACCATGAGGAGTCCCATGGGTATGGGAACAAATCTGAGTCCTCTACAAGCACAGTGAGTGCTCTTAATCACTGCGCCCTCACCTCTCCAGCCCCAACTGTGTTTTTCCTAACTTTGTATTGTTTGTTTGTTTGTTTGTTTGTTTATCTACAAACCTTGAGTCTTAAAGGCAGAGGGCCATTGCTGGGAACTTGTAGGGTAAGGAGTCTCTCAGTCAGCTCTATTCCCCTTGGATTAGCACACAATCTCAAAGAAGAGTTGATCTGCACAGGTAACTATTGCTCACTTCTTGGGACACCAGAGCCCTCACCCAGGCCATGGTCCTCCTTTCTAGGGAAAGGGGCTCATTCATCTAGACAGAGTAGATAAGGCTCTCTCCTTGGGAAGGACAGACCTCAACAGATTTCTATGATATAGGCAGTGGACTGTTCTATAAACACCTAAGAATTATTTTCAAACAAAATTACATCTGACCAAAGTATCAAATTAGACTTCAATTGTAACTAGTGTATTTAACAGGATCTAATTATTCTGAGAGACATAAAATTTGTCATGATATAAGTGAAAGTTTATTGCCACAGCATTGAAAAACTACAAGGTCACAAAACCAGCTTGGTCAGCTCATAAAGACCTCTGGCCTCAATTTTCCTAATGACCCTTTCCTCTCCATACCCGACACAGCTAACTGCTCTGCTCATTTCAAGTTTCTCTTGTCATTAACAGAATGGACATGTTTGCCTACTACAATGTAGCTGTCTGTTTCACTGAAGGATGCACATTAAAAAGAAAACATGCAGCAGCAGCAAAAAAGAAAAAAAAAATGGGGACGAGAAGCAGCAGACAGCAGAGGAAATCGGGTTTTTACGATCCACAATCTAATTTCTGTTCCTTCGGTGACTCGGAGGTCTAGAGACTCACATGAGACGTACTCAGTATCAACACTTAAAAATGGGGCTAATGTAGTGACTCCCTAATTTCACGAAGAGGCTCCAGGTGTGAAATACATTGAGGTAAAAATTGTTTAGAAGCAGTACAGTGCTGCACTTTTATGGTGGGATTTAAGGCATTTGTCAGGAATGGCCCGGGCTTAAGAGGCAGCAGGACAGTTTGAAGCTCGGGATATGGCTCCATGCACTGTGCTTGCTCTGTACAAGGTATGGGCTCTGACAGTGCAAAGAACAAACTCAAGCCAATCAACACATGAGAATTTGTTTAATGGTTATATTTACAATACTAAGGGAAATGGATGTCTGTGGACCTAATAACTGAAGTGAGGCATCCCACAGACTCTGGAGGGACCGGGGCAAAGGACTGTCCCCTTGTCATCTGATATGCAGCAAAATATAAAAAAATGGGTCGGCAGGGTCAATCAGAGACAGTGGGTTGGCCAGGAGATCTGGGGGGCGGGGGGTGAGTGAAAGGACCAAGCAAGCTACTTCCTCTTTTTATTCACAGATCTCCATCCCAGAGCCAGTGTGGTACCACTCGCTCACATGAAATATGCTTTCATTGTGAATGAACCATATGATCCATTATCCCACCACACATCATGAGTGCAAGCAATTAAAAACTCAGGCAAAGTGCACATTGTCAGGATTGCCTCAAGTTTTAATGACATTGAAGTTGTGCATGTGTGTGCCTGCGTGTATGGAGGCCAGAGGGCAATATCAGGCATCTTCCTCAATCTTCTTAACGACCTCAGTCAAAGGTCTCTTACTGAACCTAGAGATCACTGACCAGGGCCAGCCAGCTGCAGGCATCAGTCCATCTGTGTCTCCTCACAGCTGGGACTGCAGATCTGTGTCATGGCTCTGGTTCTCTGTGTATGTGCTGGGGATCCAAATTAGGTCCTCATGCTTGTGTGACAAGCACGGCACTCACTGAGCCATCCCTGTATCCATCCCAAAACCACTGCTTTTAAACACACGCCATAGCAAAAGGTGAACCTTGGTGACTACTTACATGACACATGGGATTTTAGCTTCTGCCGTTCTATTGAAGAAGACAAGGAGAGCTTCTTTCTGCTGCTGTTTCTGTGGAGAGAGAATGAGAGTTTAACAGCCCACTCTCAGTGCTCCAGAATAAGCTGTCCCAACTGGAGATACCCTGAACGTCCTCCATCTAAGCGACTTCTCTATTCCAGTACATTTCAGAACTATTACTCATGTAATAGTTTCCAATTCTTTTTAACAATTCCAAATCTTGTTTTATATACATATTAGGCTGGAGAGATGGCTCAACACTTAAGAACACTGGCTGCTCTTCTATAGAGCAGGGTTCAATTCCCAGCACTCAGGTGGTGGTTCAGAGGCTTCTGTACCTCCAGTCTCAGGAAATCTGACACCCTCTTCTAGCCTCCAAAGGCACCAGGCTCACAGGGAGTACACAGGTATACATGCAGACAAATCACCCATGCATATAAAATAAAGTAATGAGGGGAGGCGAGGATGGAGTGCTGACTCAGAGTTCAGAGTACTTGTTGTGCATGCACAGGACCCCAGTTTGATTCTCAGCATCCACATCGTGGATCAAAGCCATCCGTAACTCAAGTTACAGTGTATCCAGTATTCTCATCTCTTTGGGCATCAAGTCTGTACATGGTGCACAGAAACACATATACACAAAACACTCATGCATAAAAAGTATGAGTAAATCTAATAAACTTTAAAAGCTCATTTGCTTATTATATAGATTATACGTTTATATCTAGTTATACTTTATATTTTATTTTGTAAAATATATATATATTTTTAAATTTAATTTAATTTAATTTTTTTTTTTTTTTTTAGGTTTTTTGAGATAGGGTTTCTCTGTGTAGCCCGGGCTGTCTTGGAACTCACTATGTAGACCAGGCTGGCCTGCAACTCAGAAATCCACCTGCCTCTGCCTCCCAAGTGCTGGGATTAAAGGTGTGCACCACCACTGCCCGGCTATACAATATATTTTATACAGAAAGTTATATATTGGCATATAAAATATATTTTATATAGAATGCCCATGTATAGAGGTGTCCTTTGACTTGCACTTGTGTGCTGTAGCATGTATACATGCATGATAATATCTTTTTGTCTTGTTTTGCTTTTTCGAGACAGGGTTTCTCTGTGTAGCCCTGGCTGTCCTGGAACTCACTCTGTAGACCAGGCTGGCCTCGAACTCAGAAATCCGCCTGTCTCTGCCTCCCAAGTGCTGGGACTAAAGGTGTGTGCCACCACTGCCTGGCTGCATGATACTATCTTAATATATAAATGTTACATGCAAAAATATATGAAATCAAAAATAATTATTTTAACAGGAGGATAAAAACTACCACTACTTATTATAGCCATGCAGTATCATAAGAAATACACATGTAGCAATTCAGAAGTGAAGATTGCTATGTTTTCGGAAGCTCTCACTGCACAGATGAGGAGGGTAAAGTGAGGGCTGAGGTGACTTAGTTGTTGCACTTCTACTGAATAGCAGAAATAGAAACAGTGTTTCTCAGGAGAAGTCTCTGGGCTTGGAACCTGAGGGTGGGATGCAGTAGCCAACACACATAAAGAAAGCACCACGCCCAGAAGTCACAGTGTTCATTAAGTGCCACTTGTACAAGTGCTTTCCTTTATTCTACACAGCACATGTCTATTGTATTGTTGACACTACTGTATTTTCTCTTTTTGCAATGCTGGGGGTCAAACCCAGGGACCTGCCCATGCTAACCAAGTACTTCAGCACTGACCTACATCCTCAGCTTTAGTGCATTTCAATGTAGGAGAAATCAATAGGTTTATCTTTAAAAAGAGAAACTTTCCCAAATCAAGTAGAAATCATAGTATCCATTAATGGTCTCTACTCATTTTTAGCTATGGGCAAGGGATTTTTAAACAACTTGCATTCTTTGATCCTGAGTTCTGGACTCTTATTAAAATAGATACACTGGGGCTTTTAGATTTCTATTCTATGTTGGACATTTGAATGCATGGCCAAGTGACATGGTGCACAGAAACTGGAACAGCTGTCCCTGGAACTCTGCATCCCTGTTTCCTCTTCTTGCTTCTTTTGATGATCAGAAAGCAGCTTTAGACAAAGGACCGTTATAAGTAGCTTTCCTCAATGAAAACAGCTTTCATTACAACAGATTTTAATAAACGGCTCTTCTGCCTTTGATTTTATATATAAAGGTTATAATAACGTCTTCTAGATGGAAAGGTGTTAAAGAACAAAGAGCCAGCCCTTGACAGGCAGGCCAGTAGGGCCTGATGAGGCAACCATGACGTAGGCTGAGAGCCCAGGTACCTGGGGCTGAATGTAACAGTCACAAGGGGACTTCCTGCAAAGCCACAAGTCTCCTTACCTGACTAACCGTGCAAACATGGCTACTTCATGGACTAAGGGTTTTTGCAACTGGTAGGGTTTTGTCTGTGATCACCCAGTCCACTGGCAGCCACTGCTGCTTCCCCTTTCTGAATGAAGTTAAACACTGGATTTCCATGAGGACTTCAGGGGATGGACAGCAGATATCAGGTGGACTGAGAAGGGCTCTGGGCTCTCAGCTGGATGCTCCAAGAACTTGACCACAGCTTAGACTTCCCTTTCATCATTTCTAAAAGGGAGAACTCCATCGTGTCTGAGGCAAGGTGACTGTCACCAGCAGGCAGAACTGGAGGCAACAGACCCTGACCTTCTGCACCTCCAGCATCCTGTCCTACACGTGGAAGCATTAAAATATCCCCTCAAAGAGAAGGGATTTGTACAGCTGCTTAAAAGCCAACATTTCTAACCCTCATGGCTTATGTGAAATTCCACTAATAAAATATTAGTTTGGTATGAAGTCAAACTCTTAGGCTTCACGAGAAATAGCATGTGAGGTTATGCACCACACTTAAAGAGCTATGCACACCAGTGCAGGTTTCAGCTGCTCACGTAACTCTGAACAAGTACAGTCCCCAGCACTTCTTTTCATTCTTTTTCCTCTAGACTGTCCTGCCCAGTAATGTGATTTTCTTTCTCAATTCAAATGCTAATTCATATTCTCTCTCTCTCTCTCTCTCTCTCTCCCCTCTTTCCCTCCCCCCCACCACCTCCCACACCCCCACTCTCTGATTTTTGTTTATTTATTTTTTTTTATTGATGAGTACACTGTAGCTGTCTTCAGACACACCAGAAGAGGGCATCCAATCTCATTACGGATGGTTGTGAGCCACCATGTGGTTGCTGGGATTTGAACTCAGGACCTCTGGAAGTGTAGTCAGTGCTCTTAACCGCTGAGCCATCTCTCCAGCCCACTCTCTGATTTTTGAACAGGGTTTTTTCCTGTAGCCCTGGATGTCTTAGAACTAGCTCTGTAGACTTGGCTGGCCTTGAACTTACAGAGATTTGCCTGCTGAGTGCTAGGATTAAAGGCATCCACCACCACCAGGCTGCTCGATCGATCGATCTCTCTCTCTCTCTCTCTCTCTCTCTCTCTCTCTCTCTCTCTCTCTCTCTCTTTCTCTCTCTCTTCCCTCCCTCCCTCCCTCCCTCCCTCCCTCCCTCCCTCCCCCTTCTCGTTCTTTCTATTTTCTTTGTTTCTATATCAGATGCTCTCTTTCTATTTTCTTTGTTTCTATATCAGATGCTCTCAAGCTAGTTCCAAAGGCAGCCCAGGTACAAGAAAGGAATACTCATGACCTTACTCCAATCACACATACAACAAACCACCATTCTAGCAAAAACAAAATTGTACCATTGGATCTAAAAACATGCATGCCTGAATTCTCCTGGTTCACATAATATTTGCCATCCATGTCAGACATTAATCCTTCTTTAATCCTAGCACCTAAGGGGTGGAAGTAGGTGATCCCTGTGAGTTCCAGGCCAGCCAGATGTACATAGTGAGACCCTGTCCTAAAGCAAGCTCTGGGCTGAGGTGAGCTCAGTGGTAAAGCAATGTTCAGGATGAGCAAGGCTCTGGGTTGGATCCAAAGCACCCTCCCCCACAACAACAACAAAAAAGGGGAAGATATACTTAAAATTTATAATGTTTCTATTTACTAAATTGTATTTGTAGTAATCAGAGCAAGACCACCAGGACTAATTTTTAGTGACAGAGAACCTTGTGATACCAAACTATAACTTAAAAGAACTTACTATTCTAACTAGGCATGGTAGCAAAAACCTGCAACCTTAACCGCCAAGAGACAGAAGCAGGAAGGCTATAAGTTGGGAACTAGCCTGGGCTACAAGCAAGACCTTGTCTCAAAAGAAAAACCAAATCACTATCACAACAAAAGAACATGATCCACTGTGTCCACATCAATGGAAAACTGTACACAGGGAATATCCCTCCCTTTCTCTGGGGTATTCAGGGTATTATGTACAATTCAGCACACACTAAATATGGTATGACAATCTGCCGGGAGCCAAGACTTTATTGCCCTCCCGCCTGAGGGCAAATGCCAGTTAGGTAAACAGCCTGAAGTAAGGAATACTTTATTGCCCTCCTGCCTGAGAGAAAATATTAACCAGATTAAGCAACGTGAGCCAAGAAATGTTTTATTGCCCTCTTGCTTGTGAGGAAATATTTAGATAAGTGGTATGGGCTAAGGAATGGGCGTAGAGAACTTTGCAATTATGGGATGGCCCTGGACCCTGACTGCTAGATAACCTTCCTGCCTGCTTGTCTTTATAATGGCAGCCTGAACAAAAAAGTTGAAGCACTTGATCAGACATTCAGACTAGTGCTTCTTCTTTGTGTCTCTTGTCCCTTCATTCTTTCGCCTCCTTCTCTGTGGGCCGGGGCAGCAATCTATCAGGGCTTCTTCTTTCTGCCTAATTTCTTAAAAGTTCCTGGCTAATCTTGCTTCTCTTATGTAAGCAACACTAAAAGCATCTCTTGTTTGATCTCTGGTCATTTTTGTGTGTTCTGTCACATCAGAGAGGCTGGGATCTCAGCAGTGTCTGACTGCCTTTGTTTGGGGGACTGTTGGACCCCAAATGTAAAAAATTATAAATGGCTGTGTATTTTCTTGGTAGTTAAAATTATAAGGCTTTATCACAAAAGACAGAAATAGAGCGGATACAGAGTTCTTCACAGCACTTTGGGCAGCTGACACTGAGTAAGCGTATGGAATAAAAGCAGCCAGCAGAGCATCCTGTATGCAGCTCTAAGGTAAAAAGCAGGAGACTGCATCTAAGCTCAGCGCTGTGAGCCTTTCACTCTCTCAATACCAATCCCAGCTTCCAACAACCCAGGATACACAGCACAGACCAACAACAGCACTCTCACATGCTCCCTACACACACAAAATAGGTCAGGTGAGGAGTCACATGGTTGGCTCTTCTTGCTCAAGAAGGCAGAAGAGACAGCAGAAAGTCAGGTTTAGAGAACTCCCCAACACACGCACAGAACAGCTTTCAGTAGGACCATGAATGCGCCCGCTCACAATCCACACTCACAGTTTTGTCCTTGGTCATTTCTTTGGCTGCTGCATCTAGGGCTGCCCTAGCTCTGGTGCTGATCCGACCAGGGTTGACCACCACCATCTTGCGCTGCTTGGCTGGAAGCTGGGAGAGCACGTCAGATTTGAGCCGCCGAAGCATGATTACCTCCTCCAGCAGCAGCTTCAGCTCACCCAGGTTGGAGGAGCCCGAGTAGTCCCAGCCCCAAGGGAGCTGAAGAGAGAGAGGGGACAACTGTTAGTCTAGGAGCTCCAGACACAGCACTCTGTCTTCCTATCACCCCACTGTGACCGTTATTGGAGAGTTCCAAGAGGCTTTACAAAACTGAATGAAGCCCAGCCGAGACAGATGCGGGCAGAAAGGAGGTAGGAAAAGCCAGGCATGAGATAAACCAAAAACTCCTGTCACGGCAGCTCACAATTTGATACTAACATTTCTAGTAGCTTAAATGACTGATGTTTCAGTTTGAAGAGGCCAAAACAGGTTTGTGCTGGTCTAGATGAAACTAGAGCAAAGTTTTGGAGTGCCTAGGCTATCCCTCAAATCATGGTCCCCTTGATTGGGAGCTGCTGGGAGGCTGAGGGTTCAGGTCCTTTTCTCTCTCGTATAGCTGGAGAAAGCATTAGAAACTAAAATAAAGGCCCTGGGTGAGTGTACGTGAATGGCAGTACAACATTCAACCTGGCATCATAAGGCCTTGGGTTTGAACCCATCACAGCAATCAATCTTCAATCAAACATCAATTAATCAATCACATCCTATTCTTCCCTGGTAATCTTCCTAGAAATAAGATGATTTCTACATAGAACACCAGGGAGCACCGGGCCTCCTCTGCTCTGCACAGTCACAGCTCAATGTCTTCCTACCTCACCTTCCCCTGGACCATGAGCCGCCTGGTGGGGAGCTGGGCCTGCTGCTCACTTTAGAGGAGTCAAAGGGCGGAGCGCATGCTGGAGACAGGGTAAGTGTCTGCTAGACAGAGAGACTGAGATGTCAAGGGTGGAGAGATAAACTGGTCCAGTGCTTGCCCTCCGTTTCTCCTTCCTTCCTTCCTTCCTTCCTTCCTTCCTTCCTTCCTTCCGTCCTTCCTTCCTTCCTTCCTCCCTCCCTCCCTCCCTCCCTTCCTTCCTTCCTTCCTTTAAAGGCAAATTCAAGGGAAGGTCTTAGCAAATGCCTCTAGACAGCCACTGGATATTAGATGAGTTTGGCACAGGCTGCTTTCTCTAGTGAGGGCTCATAGTGCATAAGTCTAGGAGGTAAGGGAAACAGCTTGCCTCTGGGATGTACTTTATAACAATCTTGGGAAGGTGTGCATATATCATAATTAGTTTGGATATCTTTTCCCAAAGTTTAATATTCTTACCTCTTAACCTTGTAGGTTAACATTGAATAATACCAAACATTTTAACCTGGAATAATCACTTTCTAAGGATGTCTCAAGCAGTGGGCTGGGTGGAGAGGAGGATATAAAGAAGACACAGACACTGTCAATGACTGAGGTGGGCAAAGTCAAGCGGGAAGGAGACTAAGCAGGACTTGAGCATGGTGCCTCAGAGTGTCACACACTGGGGACAGAGGATGGGACAATCAGAGTCAGAATAATTAACTCGATCTTTGGTCCTTCTTGCTCACCTACAGACTAGCTAGTTGAGGGAGGAATCCAGTTCAGGAAGCAGATCATTTGCAAACAGGACTGAGGTAAGCATCACTCAAAAATGAAAAAACAATCTACTCTGGAAACAATCGTGTGGCGAGTAAGCTGCTGACTGTGTTAATAAAAATATACGGCTTTTAAACACATTCAACAACCGAGCGCCACCTCAACAACCACCTAACAAAACAGTCTGCCATGAACCTTGCAAAGCACTGTAATTTACATTATATGTACTTTGTGAGTAAATGGAAGTGTTTTTTAATATCTGAAGGATTTCTATTTTAAAAGTAGATTTAAAATATGGCAAACAATTGTGAATTCACAGAACTGTGCAGACAGCAGGTTTGGAGTCACATCCAGATGGGTGGCTCACCACGCAGAGCCCTTCACATCTGTAGAGTAACTGCTGGAACTTCTCCTAGAAAATACTATCTGGTTTTTCTGGCCCATTTCTTGGTTCATCCCAAGGAGCAGAAAGAAAAGTGTCAACATGAGGGTAAAGGTGGGGCATGGAGATAAGAGGATGAGTACCCGCTTGGCGTCACAGTAGCGAAGTCCAAAGGCATGAAACTGAGGGAAGAAGGTTGGCTTGACAGCAATGATCTGTGTGTAGAGCTCTGCAGGCCGAGACATGGCGGGTGTGCCCGACAGTAGGATCACCCTCTTGGCAACCTAAAGGCAAAACAGCCAAAGATGTTCTCAACACAGTTGGGAGGAAGGGACTGCTATTCCTATGAGGGATCCCCTAATACAAAATATCAAAAGTGCCACGAGGCGGGAGCTGGATGGTCCATCCCCCACCCAGGAACAGCAGAATCCTGAAGGCTGCAGCAGGTCTGTCTTCCACAGCCCGGGCTCTCACTGCTGCCTGGCTGTTCTTGACTTGACATATTTATTTTTCTGAGTACACGCACAAGAACATGCCAGTGGAGGCCAGAAGGCCACTGGATTCGCTGCAGCTGGAGTTATAGATAATTGTGAACAGACAAGCTGGGTGCTAGGAAACAGATTCACTCCTTTGGGAACAGCAGCAAGCACTCTCCTCCACTGCTCCATGGCTCCAGCCCATTCCCACTTTTAAATATGTCAGATCTTTCCTTTACCAAAGATGGCGAAGACAAGCCTCACACCAGAACTGTGTGGTCTCTAAATCAAGGTACTCTAGCCAAAAAAAACAAAAAACAAACAAACAAAAAAAACCCCTCCATATGCCTTGCAAAAACCAAACAGTCTGCTGATGGGAGGAGTTAGGTGTCAACTGCCATTCACAGTCCACCTAGCTGCTGTCACAGCACATCCTCTTCCTGAGCTCCCTGGACTAGCTCTTGTTAGTTCTTGAGATTGTGAAGGCTGTCCTGGCTGTTGATGTGAGTACATCTGGAATTAACTAAAACCCAAATGGCTGGGCATACCTTTGAGGGATTTTTTTCTTAAATAAATCATTTGAAGTAGGAGAACCCACTTTTAATCCAGATCTCTGAGATCTATTAATCTGGATCACATTTTCTGCTGCTAGCCTACATAAAGAACATGGAAAAAGGAAGCTTGCTCCCTCTTTGCCTGCTTGTCCTCACCCTCTAGCAAGTCCATTCCTTTAGTGGCATTATAGCTTACTTTTTCAGGACTCTGGAGTATACTGAACAACAGCTGAGACATCCAACCTCATGGACTAAATAAGTACTGAATTCTTGGATTTTCTATTGGTAGACAGCCACTGCTGGAACAGCCGGACCACAGCCTGTAACTCACTCTAATAAATCCCATAAATACATACATACACACAACACACACACACACACACACACACACACACACACACACACACACACACAGTTTCACTCTTAAAGTTCTGCTCCCCTGTGGGACTGCATAAAGGTATTCTGGGTCATGGCTGGGCAGTTGCCTAGAACCCCGAGACTCTGCGTGAGAGCCAGCAGGAGTTCAGTGTGCCCCCAGAACCCAGGGTCCTGAAAAGCAGTCTAGTCTCCATAGAATTACATTGTTCAGTCACGTAGGCCAGACAGCCCCTCCCAAAGTGCACAGGTAGAGGGTGTGACTAGAGGCCTCAGGGCCTAGGGATTTACATACTAATGAAGGCCAGAGGGCGGAGCAAATTAAGCATGCCTCCCCAGATCCTCCCCCCAATCCTCCCCCTTTCTCCCTCCCTATTTAACTCAGGACTGGCCTGAGTTTTACCGGGGTACACCCAGATCCATCCACCATCCACCATGACAATAAACCCTTTTGGAACCAAGGACTTCCTCGTGTCATTGGGGCCTGCCGCTGCCAAAGCCTCCAGGCGGCTGGAACCTAAGACCTCCTCCTGCATGTGGGACCACCACAGTGTGGAAACCCCTGGGGACTCCACAGCTGCACCCTCTATTTTTTCCCACACTCTCCTAGAGAGCCCTGGATGATACAGAGATTAAGGTGGGGTTGTGTTCCTACTTACTTGCTGTAGCACTTTGCATCTGGCACAGAGTAGGTAATCAATGTACACTACATGCTGAGAAAAATTCAGAGCAAAGCTAATTAGTGTTGAGGGAACATGAAGTAAACACGAGCTTTGGAGCACAGCAGAAGAGAGGTCAATAGGCCTGAATTTCTAACAGAACAGGTTTCTGAAATTCAAGTTAAATTTACCATAAAGATCCTGTGAGCACCAAGAGGAAATGACAGAGTCTGTAGAATCTTCCATCTAGTGTTTTAAAATTTTGTGTGTGTATTGTACGTGCATGTTCATGTGTATGCAGGTGTGCACATGTGTGATGTGGAAGGGGGGACGAGGTCCACACCATGTGTCTTTGTGATCACTGCACCTTGTTTTTGGAGACATGGTCTTTTCTCCATCTGGCTAAGCTGGCTGGCCAATGAGCTCTAGGACCTGCCTGACTCCTCACACCCAGCCAGGCAACCAGACTCAAGTTTCCATGCTGGCCAGCAGGCATTTGACTCAGTGTTTTGTTTCGTTTTGTTTTTAAGGAAAAGGGTCTTTATTAACTTACTTTATTTCAAGACTCAAGCTCACTTTATAATTAATTACTAAGAACTTTAAATGATGAGACCCAGATCCATTGACCAAGCTCAGCCTAGGTCTGCAGCAGCCTGCTCAGCAGTGGGCAGGAGGGAGATAAACAGCTGGCTGAACCAATGAGGACTCCCAGTTCTTCACTTTCCTGACTCAGGCCTGAGCCGAGGCGATCACACCTAGATCATATACTCTTAGACAGATGGGAAAGAGTGAGATCAAGAGGAGACTGTAGCATCAAGTTGCTGCTGTGAGGTAAAATTCACACAGCTTTGGAAGAGACTCCATCATGGAGCTCAGCTGCATGGAAACCGCTTGTTAACCACGGTAACCTTGAGTTAACGACAGTAATACAGGGCAACCACATGAACCAAATCTCCAAAGGGAAGAAAGTAAGTCTTAAAATGGATATGCTGACTCATAAAAATAATAAATAAAGGTGTAACCATGAGAAGAAAGAAGTTTCCTCATAAATATGCAATACATATAATTTTCAAAATGCACTTCTGCCCTCTCGGCCACAGCCCATCTCTAATCCCATTCTGATGACAGAGCCATGAATTTCTCCAGCTATGATTTTCCACAGTTCAATTACTGAAGCCTATAATTTCCTGCACAGTTTAACTCAGGCTCATTGATATAACAATGGGCATCCTGAATAATGTCTATAGCATCTCTGTTTGTGGCTTTAGCCTACTTCAGGAAAGTAGCAGCAGACAAAAAAGAGTGTAAACAAAAAGCTTCATCAACAGGAGAAATCTGCACATCATCCTGAACCCATTCCCCAAGCTGCTGTGTCTGCCTGGGATGGAGCCTGGGCTGAGCCAGCTCCCAGCCAGGTGGTAAAAACTCACCACAGGCTGAATTGATAGTGAGCTCTCTCATACACTCCCTAGGCTGGCTCAGTGGGAGAAGGATAAAGGAGGGGTATGGGTGCTGACAAGCAAGGCTTATTGCAGAAAAGGGAAAGGCTGGCTTTGAGAAGAAACCAGAAGAGCATCTCATTTGTCCTGGAATGATGTAAGCTGTTCTGTGCTCAGACCCAATGCTGTGGTCAATCATGTAGTAGGCCTTTATTTGTGCCTACCTGAAAACAGTTGCTATGCTTGGTCTATCTGAGGAAGCCACATCTAGGAACATAAAAATGTGTAAAATGACATAAACCGAAGCTACAATAAACATTGTATAGCCAACTCCCCTGGCTAAGGAGACAGCAGCACCTAAGAAAACCACAGTGTGGTGGCATTAAAGAACTCCTGTGTGCTGTTGGGAAGGTAATGCAGTTCACAAGCAGACACTGGGGGGGCAGCTGGCCTTCTAAGTTGTCTCCTCAGAGTGGAAGGTCAGAAGCTCTGCAGGAGAGTCAGAGGCAGGGCAAGCTAGCATTATGTAATGCACCAAGGAGAATGCTATACAGTCAGCCAAAGCAGGTAAGCTACACGTAGATTCTAAAGTGTGAGCCCAGGGGTGCTCAGAGCAAAGAGCTGGGGTTGTTTCAAGTCCACCTAACAAACAGCCAAGAAGTTACCACTTTCCATTCATACCCCCTACCACAATTAAGCCAATAACCAGTTGTGCTGAGCTATTTTGATTGGTTATAACATTTCCATAACAAGGAAATAGAATTATGTTCCTCAAAGTTGAGGCACCCCCCCCTTCCTGCCCTTTGGCTTTTTCAGATGGGTTCTCTGTGTAGCCCTGTAGACCAGGCTGGCCTCAGACTCAGAGATCCACCTGCCTCTGTATCCCTTTAATCCTGGGATTAAAGACATGCACCTACGGAGTCCCACTTTTATAGCCAGCATTTTCTCCAGTACTTGAAGAAATGTTAGGAGTAGGTTGTGCAGAAGCAGGTGACATTAAAGAAAAGGTCAAGTTTTCCCAAGTTCCAACTCTCCGAACCCTGATGCCACAGGACACTGTGAGCTCTTGAGTTTTAACTAGTTCACAAATCACTCTAGAACCTTCAGAAATAATGTTTGGAACCAATAATCTTCAAATAATGGCAACCCTAGCTAGGAGTCAAGTGACCAAAAATACTTGTATCACAACCAAAAGTAGGCTCACAAACCCTCCCCAGGAGGAAGCGAGATTGATTCCCAGTGGGTGAATGGGAGATGTTCCTGCCATATTCCAAAGATGCTAAAGAGTAGCAATCTTACCACTCGGATCTACAGTGCAATGTTCTTGTATTTCATTTTGTTTTCTCTGTGCCTGCTTGTACATCTGCACCAAATGCCTGCCAGAGGCCAGCATTGGACCTCCTAGAACTGGAGTTACAGAAAGTTTGAAGCTACCATGTGGGTGCTGAAAACAGAACCCAGGCCCTCTGCAAGACCGACCGGTGCTCTTAACTGCTGAGTCACCTCTCCTGGCCAACACGGTGCTTCTACACTAAGTCAGTATCACTGCTCTCTGTTAGTATAACTTGGATGTCATACTTCTTGGCTAAGATCAGTCAGAATGACGACTGTGACTACAGGTATATGGATTAAACATTCCAAGATCCTATAATGAGAATACAATGAGGAATATAATCTGATCTTTAAGGCTTTTTTATAGGTATTATTAAAATAGCATATGTAATAAAATTAAGTACTGCGGGGTTTTCTTTTCTTGGAAGAATAGTCCATTTCCCCCTGAA